TAGCGTACTTTCCGCGTGATTCGGTCTGCTTACCTGAAGCCAAACACCAGAAGTATGAACACCATCATTAGACTTCCAGCCAGGAGAGTTGGTCTGCAAACATAGTTCATACAGAATCAGTGACGAGTTGGAGTAAATTATATACAACAACTAAGACATTTCCTAATGAGTTTTGCTGTTGTAATTCTAACCTGCAAAGACGTTTGACGCCGTGGCTCATTAGAGCACAATAATGTCAAAGCGAACCTGTGTACTGTGATGTACTGTATACTGACTTCGTAGAGGAAAATGAAATTGAGGCCTTCAAGTTGTAAAGGTTGGCAATTGAACTCACCTTCGTCCAAACCTGTCAGCTAACTTGCCCCACTGAAACAAGAGAGGGCCATGTGTATGGTGTTCATGTATTGTTATAGCACATTAATAATATAATAAAACTTCAGTCTTTTAACCAACCACCTTAAGTTCAATAGAAATTTATGACATTTCCATATAAGATATGCTTTAAGAGATTATTGCTAGAGCAAGGAATTCAATACACCTTTTAAAAACTTTAAACTTGAGCATTGCACATTATGTTTTTTAACTGTGGTGCAAACTGGTATCTGGCACAAGCAATTGTTTAGACATGTCTAAAATACATTAGAACTATGTTAACACTTAATGTTAATTTATTGTTTAAAATCTTGTATTAGTGGTATTTCAATATTTTGTCTTTGTGGTTATTACCATTATCCTTTGCCCTTGTGTTTTTTTCCTGTTAGCCACTATAGATTAGGTTTATTTTTTAATGTTTATTTTTGATGCATTGAAACGTTCCCTACCATCAAACTTCCCAGAAATGCTCCTAAATAATGTCCACTCGTCAGGAAACCAGCGTGGTATCCTGCAAATGACCAAAAAATAAACTCAAACACGTAATGCAATTGCCTGACATATATTACAATGTTCCCATATGTTACAATGTACATCACAACGACGTTCTCGGAATTAGAATTAGATACAGCAAAGGGAATAAAAACGAAGTTGCGATACGCATGGTAATGACACGTTTAGTATACAGTTGTTAAAATTGGAACTGAGAACATTTAATGCCAATGTAGGTAATGCCTATAACATTGATCGTGTATGAATTTTGTAGCTAAAACCTGTAGCAAATGAAATGTGTCTTGTGTTCTACATTTTTACAATGTTTTAGGTAACTGGCAACTTGCACAATATTATACATTGATTAAATTCTATGAATTGAACTTTAACAATATCATAAACAAAGGCTGTTAACGCTATTTTATCCATTTATCCACGTTACGTCCCACCTACCCAGCTGATTGCTCTTAAGGTACGAGTAGAAGTCATGAGTCAGGAAAGGCAGGATGGGATAGATGACACTACCGCCAAAGTCCTCCGAGAACAAGAGTCCGCCCACCACCGCAACCTGGAAAAAACAGGCTGATTTTGACTCCAATGAGAAACCTCCTGACTGAGTTCTAAGAGGGAGGTTTGTATTTATACATTTTGGTGGTAATTCATCCTAGAAAAAACTGTCACACAGTTCATATACCATAGGGCTAGCAAGGTTATAGCAAAAAAGAGCGTAATTTACATGCATGTAGCATACAGAATCATCAGCTTTCAGATATTTTCCTCCATTGCAAAAATTGTAAAACAAAGGCCAGCTGCTTGTCTAATAAAACATTAGTCGGACATGTAGCTGGGCAAACCCTGTCTACTTTACCCTATTCATGAGACGACTTCATAAGGCCCGGGTCAAAGTTCATGTCGGATATCAGTAGTTGTGGTTTAAACAATTACGCAAGCTAAGCTTTCTAACATTGATTAAATCTTTTGTAATTTGATATTTTATTTTTTATCTATAGATTAATTATTTTTCCCAAATTGATAGCGCCATTGGTCAGAATTATTAGCCCAGGTACTATCTGGGTTATTTTTTCCATTAGTACTTGCGTCATTTACAATAATCTTTCATATGTAAACGATGTGTTATAATTTTATTTTCAAAAACTCAAGACTGCCGATCCAAGATTCTGGATAGCCTTAATATAGTTGACGTAATTATAACCTCATTTTAAAATACTATTACAGCTTTGTATTGCTAAGATAAGCCTTTTAAAACCCCATTTTAACAGATTTTTGTGAGTTGCGTTTCCCAAGGACTAACGGCACGAATCAGCACCTGTTTAAAGGGAAAATGGGTCCATCTTGATGCTTTTCCATCCGCCATTTTGTCCAGCTATCCTCTTCTGATCTTTTCGAAGGTGATGTACACAATTTTCAGCAACCTACGGAGAAATTGAACAAATGATATCAAAAGGCAAATTGAAGTTAATCACTATAGTTTGCACGATGTCAAATGCAAAAAGTACTTTCATGAACATAACATATATTGGACTAAATATTATACTGGCAAAAAATACGCAATTGAAATAACCCCAAAATAGTATTTCTAACCATTCTTTATCCAGTGGAGGTGCAAATGAGAATGAAAGCCTCTTTTCATTGATGTCACGAGGACAGAAAGGTGAGGGTCAGACAGAATATGTCAATAAGATAAAGTTCATTTTAAGTCTTAAACAAAACTATATACATTTTGTACACATACAAGTACATGGTGCAAAATACATACACAAGAATGTAATGATTGGCAGCCTGCAAAACGCTCTGAATTGCTTAATATGTGGTTACAGATGCAATGACAAGAAATAAATGATAATTGTGATATGAATGATAAATGAAGAAGTTTCACTACTGGACATATATTCATTTTCACATAGATATTATATGATATGATATGAGGCCTCCATAGTAAACAAATGATCAGGACATCTGCCAAACAAGTTACTAGAGAAGTAGAAAAGGCCAATATAGGAATAAAGTAAAATAAGAAATGCCTACTGAGAAAACATAATGGTGTAGTTTCTTCACTTGAATGGATTTATTACAATTTCCATATAATACTAGAAATACCGACATTTAAATTGCTATGGAGCAAATATAGCATATTTCAGTCCATTTCTCTCCCAAATCCACAATGGACCATTACATATTCAACCTTTCGAAGAAATGAACCATCCTAACGTCGATGAAGGCTAGACATCCAGGTAATACGATATGCCAAAAAACAGTTACTCAAGCAACTGGATATGATTTTCAAAA